GGAGGCTGAGTCAGAATCACAAATTTGAGCCTAGCCTGGGCAATTTAGTGACATCCTGTCCCAAATAAAAAATAAAAATGGGCTGGGGATGTAGCTCAGTGTAAAGGCCCTGGATTCATTCCCCAGTACTGAAAAAAAAAAAAGGGGTTGTCTCCTATAGATATTTGGACCATGATATTTATCTATTTTCCTACCTCTGCCTTTTAATTGGAGTGTTTAATCCATTTACATTTAATATAATTATAGATACAGTGGGATTTAGTCTGCCATTTTATTTTCTGTCTTTTGTCTTTCTATTCTATTCTCACATTCTTTCCATGCCTTTCATGTATTTTTCTACCGTACTGTTCTACTAGTTCTCTTTGTGTGGCTTTTACTATATACATTTTAAAGATATTTCTTAGTGGTTTCTCTAATGATTATAATTAATATCTTAATTTATACCATTTGGATTCAAATCAACTGAATTTCAAAAAATTTTGTTCCTATGTAAATTTGTTCCCACCCCGTTCTTTTGTACTGTCATACACACTTTTTATTTTGTGCCCCTCACCACAGATTTGTAATTATTGTTTTATACAGTTACCTTTTAGGAGGAAAAGACTTAAGAACAAATATGCTGTCATATATTTGCCTACATAGTAACCTGTATTAGTGTTTATTTCATGTAGATTTAAGTTACTATTACTGTTTCATTTTAGCCTGGTGGATTCTGTTTATTATTTCTTGTAAGACAGACTTGCCACTGATGAATTCTACTTTTGTTTATCTGGGAGGGCCCTAATTTCATCTTCATTTTTGAAGAATAGTTTTGCTGGATATTGAATTAATGTTTGATGGTTACTTTCAACTTTTTAAATATGTCATCCCTACAACTTCTAACCTCTGTGGCTTCTGATGAGGATCCCTTGTGCAGGAGTCATTTCTTCCTTATTTTCAGGATTCTCTCTTTGTGTCTGGACAATGTGGCTGTGTGTCCAGTCATGGATTTACGTTTTCCCTTCTTTGGACTAATTGAGCATCTTGGGTGTATAAATCAATACTTTTTATCAATGTCTCTGTCCATTATTTTTTCCAATGTCTTTTGTGCCTTTCTTCCCTCCCCTTCTAAGAATCCAATTATACATAAATTGGTATGCTTCATAGGGTACCACAGGTCTCTTAAGCTCTGTTCATTTTTCTTCGTCTTTTCTTTTCTTTCTGTACCTCAGAATGGATAATCCAATTGACTTATGTATATTTGTTTGCTGATTTTTCTTCTGCCTGTTCCAACCTACTGTTGATCACTTCTTGTCAATTTTTCACTTCAGTTACTGTGTTTGCAACTACAGAATTTATATTTGGTTCTTTTTATATAATGTCTATTTTTTTTATCAACAATGTCTATGTAGCTAGACATCATTTTTATATCTTCCTTTGGTTCTTTAGTTTTGGTTGTTCTTTAGTTCTTTAGGCATATTTAAAATGGCTGGTTTAAAGTTTTTATCCAGAAGTCCAATGTCTGGAATTTTTCAGCAATTTCTATTGATTGCTTTTCCCCATGTACTGTCTTGTTTCTTTGCATGCTTCATAATTTCTTTTGTGTCTGTGAGTGGAAAATGGGACGTTACTTGAGGTAAATCTGAGAATCATTTTATTTACCTCCCTGCTAAGGGTTTGTATACTTGCTGGGGTTTTTTGTTTTGTTTTAGTGACTTTTCTGAATTAATTCTGTATACTCTATATTCTTTGTAATGCATGACACTGAAGACTCTGCTCAGGTAGTTTAGTGATAATCTAATGATTGGAGAGAGATTTCTCTACTTGAAACCAGTAAGTCTTCCTATCAATGTGGAGGGCCCTAAGGGTTGGCACACTCTTTCACACTCAGCCAGAAAGGTCACTTTCTGATTGTACAGAACCTCAATTTAACATGAGCATTTAGCATGCAATTAGGTCATTCCGAAACAAAAGTACAATCCTTGGCATGTGCAAAGTCCTACATGTGTGCACAACCATCTGATCTCCTGTAAGGTCAGGGCTTTTCAAAACCTTTAGGAGGCCTCCTTCCCAGCATTTAAGAGTTTTTGTTAGCCTACTGTTTGCTCCAACGGTGACCCAACCCACTGCCTCAGGAAGCCATTTGTTCATCACTTATCTCTGAGACTTTTCCAGCAAATTTCCCTGAGGAAAAGCCTTTTCACACCTGGCAAGTTCCAATCCACTAAGATAAAGAGAGTCTTGAAAGAATCTTCCAGGGAACCACCAGACACGCTAAATGACAATTCTCTGGGAATGAGGCTTTGAAGGAACCCTTGCCCGATTCTTCTCCCTCCTGTTTCCAGGCTTCTGCTTTTCACTTTCTATATGTTCTGTTGGTTTTCAAGGATACAGCAGAGATGGAAGGGGGAACAGAAATAGGGCAAGTTAAAACATTACAAAGCTCATTACTGGAGCCTAGATCCAGCCATTTTTTTGAATAAATACCGCTCAGATTGCTGAAGCTTTTGTAATTTCCAGAATTGTGAAAAAAATGTTAATTCTTACACTTTGGGCCAATTTTTTCCTTGCTATATGGGGGATGGAAAGTTCTCAGAGCTCCTTCCTCCACCACTTTCACTGGGCTTAATTAATGCCCCTTTTCTTTCCTAACAAAATGAAGGAGTTTTTAACAAGACACCACTATTGACATTTCTGAACATTCACATAGTTCAAGCTCAACGATTCTATGAACAGTAATTATTCTACAAACATGCAACCAAACTTGACAGAGTATGAATTTTATACAATGAGCACACTCCAAGTGAAAACTGCCATAATTTTTCAGAAGCAGAATCAGTCTTAGGCAATGTTTTCATTACATACATATATTTTGGATTACTATGAGAAACTAAACCTAGTACTCTTTAGCATGAACAGCAAGGACAATCTACACTCTAGAAAACACCAGCAGCTCCTGAAAGTCTCTTAATTACATATAGACATCATCACAAAAGCTCCACCTTCTGCCCAGCCAACACACTGGGCTGCCAGTACTTTTCTGTCTCTGAAGTGCAAGGGACCATACAGTCGAGCTGCAAAGAGCACATCTTAGGCTGCAAGGCATGCTGTTCCCAGCTGAGAATAACAGCCACTCAGCTATGATCAATCCCTTTCCCAGAGATCCCTGCACCACTTTCAGATCTACTAGCTGATGACACGGTGGGTAGTTCCTGGGTAGGGGCAGGAAGACTTGAGTAATTTTTAGGCAAAAGAGAGCTATTTTCAAGTGTATAGGCTTAATAAAAATCCCCTTTAAAGGCAAGGCAAGATTCACTGGGTTCATGGAGAAGTGTAGCAGAGCCTCATTAGGAGCAAGCAAGGGGGAATGAAAATCATAAAAGTAAAAGCAAAACAAAATGGCCAGGGTTATGCAAGGAAACTTCTAAATGAGATTCTATAAGATAGTGTGTTTATGAGTCTATGGAATGAATTTCCGTCTCCATATTTAATTACATCAGATTGCATTAGTACTGGTCTAGATAGGAATCCATTTTCATAAATCATCTGAATAAAATGTTTTGATTTCTGCTCAAGTGTTTAAGTTTTCTGTAGTAGAAATAAGAATGTCAAATTCTTCAATTTAGGAAAGAGAAATCTAACTTTACGATTAATAATTTTAAACGCTGGCTTTGAAAGTTCCCGAAGGTTATGAAAAGGTATATGTTTTAAGAAAAATTACATGCAGAGCCTATAAGCCAACTGGTGTTGAAGGCTTTTTCCTTAGACTACAAACATTTTAATTTGTAATACTTAACGTGAAACAAATGGGAGGTGGACATTCAGCTAGCTAAGTAGCGTGCGAAAGGTTTTAGTGAGTGCTGGGGACACTGACCGAAGGGTGTTTAATGTACACCCCTTGTCCAGCAGAGGAGGGGCCAGATAGCTAGCAAATAAGTTCACTATTCTCCATCAGCCAGACTGGATCCTGGCTAATAGAGTTTCAAGTTTTTGCACACTTGAAAAAAACTTAAAGTGTGATAGTAATATATATTAATTGAAGATACAACATTTCATCTATTTCATAGTGTTATGTAGCCAAGATTTTCGGTATGATAACAATTAGGCATAAATCACTACAATTCACTCTTAGTCACTGTCTTATTGCCGAAACAAATACCTGACACCCAAGACATAAAGGAGAGGAGGTTTATTTTGGCTCATGTTTTCAGTCCACAGTCACCGTCCTGGCTGAAAGGCAGGAAGGCATGGTGGAAGGTTCTGGTGGAGGACAGTTGTTCACGTCATGGTGGTGAGGACGCAGAGACTGAGGAGCTGGAGGCACTCTTCCAGGTCATGCCCCCAGTGACCTGCCCCCTCCCTGACTGGGCCCTACCTCTTAACAGCACATTTTGCTCTGGTTTCATCAGTGAATTAACGCACTGATAAGTACAGTGCCCCCATGATCCATTTACCTTCCAAAAGCTCCACCTCTGAGTACATGAGCGTTCTGGGGCTCATTGTTGATCTAAACCACAACAGACCCCTGGCTCTACATCACAGGAAATCCTGGCCTCATGAGGCTATCCTGGATTTCAAAACTTACCACTAACCCTCCACACATGAGCTTGCTGATGCAAACTTACCTTGAACAGACTATACTTTTCAAGTGGGTCACCTTTTTCCCCCATTACTACTATTGCATGAAGTAGTTTTCAACCCAGAATAATGGTTGCTCAACAAAATAACATATAGGGTTGCGGGTGTGTAGCTCAGTGGTAAGGGCATTTGCCTAGCAAGTACTAGGCTCTGGCTTGGTTCCCAGTACTAGCAGAAAGAGGAGAGGAGGGGAGGGGAGGGAAGAAGAGAGGAAAGGAGGAGAGAAAGAAAGGCAAGCATGAAGAAAGGAAAGAGAAAGAATTGAAAGAAAGGGGTCTTAGATTTGTTTGGTTTTTTTTTTTTTTTGGTACCGGGGATCGAACTTGGGTCATGCGCAGCAGGCCGCGAAACCATTAAGCTAAATCCCCGGCCCATAGATTTGGTTTTTTGCAAAGCTTTGGACACAGTTCAAATACACAGTAGGCAGGCAAGTTTTCTCTACTCAACATCACTCCTTTATAGTATCAAAAGTTTAAGAATGACATCAGTGAATCTCGCACATAATTTCCAGGATGAACAGCACCAGGGAAACAGTGTTTTAAATTCCATTTCTCATCAATCAAGCCCAGACACTGCACCCAAGGGTTAAGGTGGAGACTGCCCAAAGGCTGACTGTCCATCCAGCCCACTGCAGGTGTTCAACAGTTTATCATAGGTAGAGAGAGATGCCTGGCGTGTAACCATCTTTATAAAATTTCAAACAAGTTAGTATTACATACCTTATCTAAACAAGAATTCCTGAATGTCAGGTTAGCACAATTCATAGCTCCACTTGAAGACACGATGGTAAAAGGTGAAACAGAAAGATGTAGCAATATATTTACTGTCCCTTCAATGACAGGTAGCAGTCACTTAGTCCTGAAGCACATCTGTGAAGTTTCGTGCCACATTTGTCACCTGCCAACTTATATACATGGAGGGGTTACATCAAAACTTCAATTATTCCAAAGGATGAAAGGAGTGGTCCATTTGGATACAGATCTTCAGTTCCTATTATACTCTTAGCCTTTGAAATGTTAAGGCTAAGCAGACCAAGTTTTGAAAGGGACAGGAGGAAGTAAGAACAGTGCAAATACAGTCGGAACACATGGTAACTTTCTGCCTGCACCAGTCTATGTGGATAGTCTGCTTTCCGGGCAGCAGGTGGTGTGACTGCAAAGAGATCACACGTTTGTCAGTAACTATGTAGGATTTTTGGCACTATTAGAGACCAGCTTTACAGAGTTAGGCAGCTAATAAGATGCCGCCAACCACATTTTTGACATCGGAAAGTTTTCGAAAATAATTTTTCTACCAAGCAACCCTTCTTGGTTCTTCTTTCAGTCCTGCCTTATATAAAACTGTATCATTAAATTCCTTTTTTAAAAGTACTTCTTTACAAGAATCACTTCACAGCAAGCAGATGAACATCTGGCAGCGAAGTTACACTGAAATGCCATCCTTTCAAGGGAAGAACAAATTACATGACTCTTCCATGAGGAGCAGGTCTCCCTGGAGGGGGAGGCTCACAGGCTTACTGTTTATGGTCTTTTTTTTTTCTTCCTCAAAATCCCAAGGCTGAACATGGCCCTCCTTTCTCTGTGCTATCTGGACAACAGGATGTTCCATACAGTCAAAATGAAGACAGTCTGACATACCAGGTAAATAAGCCAATGTGCACAGGGTGTACTTAGAATAACTCTACCAGGAACTAATAGAAGTCAGTATAAACCGAATCACAAGCCCATCTAACAAGAACAGGGCAGGTCTTATTTTGACATGAGTTTTCTCCCTTTTTCTTATTATTCAGAAAATACTTAAATCTAAAAAGAAAGGGATCAGATCTTCTAAAGATCAAATATTCTTCAAACTTCTCCTATATTAAAAAAAGTCCTATCAGGAAATTAAAGAATTCAAAACTTAGTTGTCTATAATCTTTTAAAATACACATGCATTTCAAGATCAACATTTTTGTTCTTAAAACTCCTCTCCAGAGCCTCTCAATGCATTGCAACACTTGTAAACAAGGTTGTACTTTCCAGAGGGCATGTCTGCTGGGATCTCGGAAGCTCCGCTCTGCTGCCAGCTTGGGTGCCCCACCCAGCTATGCAAGAGGACTGAGGCCTGGGGTTTGCCGAAATGCTAAAAACTGACAAGTTTCCACTGGAGAAACCACGGAGAGTAATCTCTCCGGGAAATAATTCTCTGGGGAAAGAAAGAGAAGAGAAGCATCGCTGAAGGTGTGTTGTTCGGAAGTTAATGTGGCTATATTATCAAATTATAGTTCTTCAGGGAACTGCAGCTCGCTTTAAATTGGATGTGGGGAGGCTCATGATACTAAATAGTTTACGTATAAGACACACATAAAAAGAAAAACACAGAAGACAGTATGTCCTGAATTTGGGGGAGGATGTATTCCGACTTGGGGAAGAGCGGAGGCATTTCGGTTGTGAAGCCCCATCGCAACACTTCCAGGGCGTTCTCGTGCCCCTGTGCTGCACAGGACGGGGTGGAAGGGCCTGCTCCGGCCTGCAGGCCGCTCCTGGCCCTGCCGCATGGTGTGCAACATGCAGGGAGGTGGTCGCAGTGTCAAGCTGGCAGCGCTCCTTCTGCTTGTGAGTGTTTATCAACTCAGCAGGTCAAACATCTGCAGACACTGGGTGGAGCAGCAGTAAGCCACAAAACTAACCGCTGTCGTCCTGGAAGGGGAGAGAGGGGAGAGAAGGACACTTGGTATTAGCTCAAGAGTAAGTCTGTGAGGCTATGCTTAGAGGTACATGCCTGGAATACCAGCACTCTGGGAGGCTGAGGAAGGAGCATCACCAGTTCAAGCTCAACCTGGGCAATTCAGTGACATGGTGAAACCCTGTCATGAGAAAATACAAAAATAAAAAGGGTCCTGGGTGTGCAGCTCAGTGTGAAGGCCCTGGACATATGTAGCTTAGTGCAAGGCCCTGGGTTCAATCACCAGTAACACACACACACACACACACACACACGCGCGCGCGCGCGCGCACGCTCGAGTCTGTGCTGGGCATGGTGGTGTACACCTATAATCCCAGAACTCTAGGTGCTCAGGTAGAAGGATTACAAATTCCAGTTCAGCCTAGTCAGTTTAACAAGGCCTTGTCTTAAAATAAAAAAGGGTGGCCTGGGGCCGGGCATGGTGGCACATGCTATAACCCCAGGACTCTGGGGCTAAGGCCGGAGGATTGCAAGTTTGGGCTCAGCCTGAAAAACTTAGCGATTCCATCTTAAAAGTAAAAAAATGTTAAAATGGGCCGGGGATTGTAACTCACTGTGAAGGCCCTGGGTTCAATCCCCATTACCTGTGCCCCTCAAAAAAAATCAAGCCTCTGGATTTCTTTCATTGGAGACTTTCTTTCTTTGTTAAAATCAATGATTAGGTTCGGTTAACAGACAGCAGTACAGAAATGAAAACTTCCTTTTTAGACTGAGCACCAGAGTGATGTGTGCATGTGGGTGCGTGTGTAAGCTCACTTTGTTAGTGGGGTTCGACTGATATCCTACTCCTAACATCACTGCAAGGAGAAAATAAGCTTTTCCCAAATCCTGTTCTGAATTCTGCTTAGTAGAACCCACAGTGCAATCATAAAATTTGAAGTACATTATACAAATCGTACAACAGAAAATGTCACCAATTTAGCTAGAACACATATATACTGGAGTCCTTAAACAACACAATTTTCCAAACTTCATTCCACAATGTATTTGTGTAGATTGTTCATGAAAGTAATTTCAGAATCTGATAATACAGTTCAAGGGTCTCCCTGCAGAAGAGAACAGCGTGAATCCCTTTCAGACTCCAGTCTGGAAGCCTTTGCATGGCCAGTCACGAGCTGCCGAGGGGCCTCAGATGCACTCTGGACAGCTCCAGCTGCTGGATGCCTTGGCCTCCTGCCAGCGGTGCATCCTAGGGGAGAGGAGGATGAGCTACTGATGTTTTCTCTTTCCCCACCGCTTAATCCAGTCTCTGCCTTTCTCTGTGGCCCAGGAAGGTGACTTCTACAGGCTCTACCCCAGAAGCTGCCTGTGGCTGACTGGCAGCATGCTGTGGGGTCATGATTACTCAAGTATGAGTATGCCAATGGGCAGTTAGGCCCTGGGATGGCGAGTGGCTGGGGGCACTGGATGGCTGTGGCATCACGGTGAATTCAAAGTCTATGTGTATGCTGAAGGGACTTGAGAGAAAGAGAAAGAGAGAAAGACAGAAAGAGAGAGAAAGTGTTATGGCTGTGTCTAGATGTCCCCCTAAAGCCTCATGTGGTCATAGATAGGGCTTTTCTGAGGTGGTTGGGTCTAGAGTGTATGATGCTGGGATTAAGGGTGTGTGATTACTGAATTAGTCCACTGATTGACTTGGCATAGCTCTGGGTAAGATTAGGGGTGCCCCACCATGGGTGTGAGTGCTATCTGCCCTAAGGGCAGTAGCCTGGATAAGGTATAAGGGACAGAAAGAGGGTCCTTGTTTGTTCACTACTTGTTGGCTCATTTGTACCTTGCTGTTTTCTGCCTGCCACGGACTGTTTCTCCTCTGCGATGCCCCTCTGCCATGCTGCTCTGCCTTGGAGCCAGCCAGCTAAGATCTGAAACCTCTACAAACTGTGAGCTGAAAGGAACCTTTCCTCCTTTAATTTTGGGTGTTGAGTATTTTGTCTCAACAATGAGAAAGAAAACAAGGAAGGAGGGAAGTAAGCAAGCTAGCTTAGTGCTTTGAAATCTTAAGGCATGGGTAGCTCCTCAAAAAGTTCCTATGATGTTTTTAAAGGAACTGTTATTTTACAAGGCTTTAAAGGATGACTTGGGCCTGAATAAAGAGGTTGAGAATTACATGCCAAGTAAAGGTCCATTTATACCAAGGCTCTTACACAAAGATAAAAGTGTTAGTAGGGAAGGAAAGACTAGAGACTTGAGATGGGAGGGCTTAGACAGTCAACTAAGAACCTTGAACTGCTGACATCTTTGAACATTTCTTCACACCAGAAACAGCCATTTCCACCTTCTAAGAAAACCAGCATTCCCTTATATAAAAATATTTCAATGGCTTTATGTGGCAATGGCTACTTAAAAAGAAAGTTAGGACCCACCATCACCAATGCTCATTGTCTCTAGGGCCACAGAGAGTAAAATCACAGCATGATCCAGGGATCAGTGTAAAGTTTGCTCCAGGAGGAGGTAATGTTCACACTGGGGAGTCATAGGAACTTGCCAGATTGTATTAACAGGAAGCTGGAGAGAAATGTAGCCAATGAGAACAAATGGAAGGTTGGATCAGGCCAATGAGGATACTTCACCCAGGCCTGAGGATTTACTGTGCCACTCTAGCACCTGGGAATGGATAACAGAAGAAATAAAAGGAGACCTGAATAAGTTGAGAGATATACTCTATTCATGCATTAAAATACACAACATATTAAGATGCCAGGTCTCTCCAACAGGCCTGAAGGCTAAATGCAATTCTTTTTTTTTTTTTTTAAATGCAATTCTTATCAAAAACACAAAACGTTTTTCTAGAGACAAAAATAAACTTATTTTAAAATTTAATGAAAAAGTACAGCCTGAGAATAGCTAAAACAACCTTTAAAGAGAAGAATGCAGTAGATGTATCACTATCTGAAAATAAGGTCTATTATTTAGCTACAGAAATCAAGAGAGTTTGACACTGGGTGAGAAACAGGTGTGGATCAACTAACAGAGACCCGGAACAGCTTCCAGAATAGGTAAAGGTTTCTCAGGACACAGAATTTTTTAAAAATGAAACTGAAAGGAATAAATTGGACTTGGTGAAACTTAAAACTTGGTTTTCAACTGATACCTTTCCAAAAAGTAAAAAGGCCAGAACAACTTTTAAAAAATTATTTTTTTCCTGGCGCTCTGGGGATTCAGCCAGGGGCTCACACATGCCAGGCAAGTGCTGTACCACTGAGCTACATCTCCAGCCCTTTCAAAGAATTTTATTTTGAGTTAGGGCTTGTTAAATTGCCCTTGGCCAGACTCAAACTTACAAAGTCACCTGAGTAGCTGGGATTATAGATATGCACTGCCATGCTTGACTTGAAATTTTTTTCTTAATTTAGGAAATTATAAGATTTTCATTTATTCACCCCTGTTTTTAAAAATTAAAGTTGGTTAGAACCTGAGTTTAGTTAATTTTTATGTTCACATTTGTATAAATCACGATTGAAATGAACTTCAGGCAGAAAGTGATCCTAAGTGGCTGGTTCATTTTAGCGGGTTAGCTCACAAAATGTAACTCTCCTTGTGTTTTAGTATTTAAAAAAGATAATTGTGCAAATTACTCACAGAAGGGATACATTTACTACAACCACTAAGGTTTTTTTTAAAAACAAAGTATCTAAGCAAAAGAAACAGAGTCCATAAAGATATGGGATTTATTCTCACTGATGCATACAGCCCTTTAGATCATCATTCACTGCTTAATGATGCTCCAGGGTGGGGTGAGGGACCTTAGTTGTCATATTTGTGCTCTGAAGAAATCCCTAGGCTGGTACTGTCTTGCTTTGGGGAGACTCATCTAATGACGGGTTGCACTTGCTTGCTGTTACAACAACACTATCAAAATCTGTTGGCTTAGGAATGAATTAGTGTCAGTTTAGTCTTTTAAAATCTACAACTGAGGCTCCAGACACCTAAAAGTTCTAGGGGAGAAACTTTGAGCTAAGCAATAAGCTCTCCAGTGAAGAAAGAGATGCTGATAAATTCTACAAAGAACACCAGACAGTCGATTTGTGGCTTTAGAATTTCCAAGCATATTTACAGGCGAGGCAGAAGAAAGAGCATTTGAGCTTGATTTTAAAATACCAAAATACCACCATTCCTTAAAAGAACAAATCACAATGTTGTTGGCACATATTGGAGCCCACAAATATCATAAGAAATGTGGGATTTTTTTTTCCTGCAAATGTGTTTCCTGATTAAAAATAAAAAGCATATCATATCTTTGACTCATACAGAAATTCGAGCCAAAAGAAAAATAATATTTATAAGGCAGAGCTGATCAAATGAAATCCCAAGTCTGTGTACATATTAACTTATGAAAGAATCATCTCATATAACAGACTGTATGTCCTGGTTACATTTATGTCAATAGTGACTTTCTTATTGGGAGAATGCTTCTGTAGAATCAGAGGCTTAAGTGTCATACACATGCCCCAGACTTTGGGAATGAAATACATATGTGAAAAGAATGAAGTGATTTGGTTATAGCAAAGTTCCCAGTACTTTACAAAGCTTGGCACAGTAGACGGTCAGTACATGATGTCTGAATGATTTAAGAAAGATGAAATAGTTCAGAACAACTTAAATTTGCTGAAGAATATTTTACTTGTGGGTAACTGGATAAGTCACCTTAAAAGGGTATAGGTTGCTGCTAGAACAACAATATAAACCTCCCAAATGAATATCAGTTGTCAGTAATTATGTCAGTATTACTGATACTATTTGGTTTCATAGAAGAAAGTAATATGCTCAAAAAACAAGGCAAGGAAATGTGAAGCATTTAAGTAACTAAACCAGATAAGAATTATATAGAAGAGGTCATTAAAAAATAAGTCACTCGTGGGTGGGAGAAGGGAATATTACATTGTTCTGAAAGATGAAAGGAAATCGTAAGACCAAAGCTGTGTGCCCTCTAATACACGGGCCTCTAGCTCAAGGT